CAAGGTTCCTCACTCTGAGGACAAGGTTTCTCACTCTGAGGACAAGGTTTCTCGCCCTGAGGGCAAGGTTCTTTTCTCTGAGGACAAGGTTCTTCACTCTGAGGACAAGGTTCCTCACACTGAGGACAAGGTTCATCACTCTGAGGACAAGGTACCTCACTCTGAGGAGAAGGTTCCTCAGTTTGAGGCCAAGTTACTTCACCATGAGGACGAGGTTCTTTACTCTCAGAACAAGGTTCCTCACACTGAGGACAAGGTTTTTCTCTCTGAGGACAAGTTTCCTCACTCTGAGGACAAGGTTTCTCACTCTGAGGACAAGGTTTCTCACCCTGAGGGCAAGGTTCTTTACTCTGAGGACAAGGTTCTTCACTCTGAGGACAAGGTTCCTCACACTGAGGACAAGGTTCTTCACTCTGAGGACAAGGTACCTCACTCTGAGGAGAAGGTTCCTCACTTTGAGGCCAAGTTACTTCACCATGAGGACGAGGTTCTTTACTCTCAGAACAAGGTTCCTCACACTGAGTACAAGGTTTTTCTCTCTGAGGACAAGTTTCCTCACTCTGAGGACAAGGTTTCTCACTCTGAGGACAAGGTTTCTCACCCTGAGGGCAAGGTTCTTTACTCTGAGGACAAGGTTCTTCACTCTGAGGACAAGGTTCCTCACACTGAGGACAAGGTTCTTCACTCTGAGGACAAGGTACCTCACTCTGAGGAGAAGGTTCCTCACTTTGAGGCCAAGTTACTTCACCATGAGGACGAGGTTCTTTACTCTCAGAACAAGGTTCCTCACACTGAGTACAAGGTTTTTCTCTCTGAGGACAAGTTTCCTCACTCTGAGGACAAGGTTTCTCACTCTGAGGACAAGGTTTCTCACCCTGAGGGCAAGGTTCTTTACTCTGAGGACAAGGTTCTTCACTCTGAGGACAAGGTTCCTCACACTGAGGACAAGGTTCTTCACTCTGAGGACAAGGTACCTCACTCTGAGGAGAAGGTTCCTCACTTTGAGGCCAAGTTACTTCACCATGAGGACGAGGTTCTTTACTCTCAGAACAAGGTTCCTCACACTGAGTACAAGGTTTTTCTCTCTGAGGACAAGTTTCCTCACTCTGAGGACAAGGTTTCTCACTCTGAGGACAAGGTTTCTCACCCTGAGGGCAAGGTTCTTTACTCTGAGGACAAGGTTCTTCACTCTGAGGACAAGGTTCCTCACACTGAGGACAAGGTTCTTCACTCTGAGGACAAGGTACCTCACTCTGAGGAGAAGGTTCCTCACTTTGAGGCCAAGTTACTTCACCATGAGGACGAGGTTCTTTACTCTCAGAACAAGGTTCCTCACACTGAGTACAAGGTTTTTCTCTCTGAGGACAAGGTTCTTCACTCTGAGGACAAGGATCCTCACAAAGAGGACAAGGTTCCTCACCTTAAGGACAAGGTTCTTCTTTCTAATGACAAGGTTCTTCACTCTGAGGAGAAGGTTCCTCACACTGAGGACAAGGTTCTTCACTCTGAGGACAACGTTCCTCACACTGAGGACAAGGCTATTCTCTGAGGACAAGGTTTCTCACTTTGGGGACAAGGTTCTTCGCTCTGAGGACAAGGTTCGTCAAACTTTGGAGAAGGTTCCTTACTCTGAGGACCTTTTCTTCACTCTAAGGACAAGGTTCTTTACTCTGAGGACAAGGTTTTTTTCTGTGAGGACAAAGTTCCTCACTCTGAGGACAAGGTTCCTCACTCTAAGGACAAGGTTTCTCAATTGGAGGACATAAGACTCAGACTTGTGTCGAACATTATGCTCAACATATAAACGAACATATGTACTTATCATATTATTCTTCGGTACATATTCTCTCTGTTCCTCGCATATTATTTGATTGCAGTACTTCTAGTTACAAATTATTTGTTTGTCATTGTATATGTAGATTTGTATTTGATAATATTTTGTTTCACGATCCTATAATGATAATGGCGTGCGCGAATTCACCACGCAAAAAACGCGTTGGACTTGCCGACACATAAGACAACGTTAATGGGGTCGTTTAAACGCAGATCTGTCCAGAGTACAGCCAACTTTGGTCCTACAATTAGACTTGTAAGCTTTGTAATCTGGAACGATTATTTTACTGCAGATTATATTGACATTGCGCGATACATTATTGTAATCACAGCAATATTTTCAGATCTGTGCCATAATCTTTAAGTTTCTAATTGCTATTTTGCAATATTGGACCGAAAGTTTCCGTGATAATATTTTTGTACATACCCATGAATGTTTAGTGTGACGGAAAGCCGTGTTTTAAAACATTAAGTTAATTTCCATTGTAACCGCCTATATCTTGTCACGCGGCCAGTTTCCATGCAAACCAAATAGTTGAAAAATATCGACAGTTGATTTCCAACATCCAACCCAAAAATGAGAGTCGTAGTGCGCTTTGTTAATTTTTCATTAATTTTTAAAAATTTTTCCTATTTTTCCACTCCTAACGAAATTGGAGCCATGCATTAATGTACCTGAGCCTTCTCCTTAGAATGACGAACCTTGTCCTCAGTGTGAGGAACCTTGTCCTCGGAGTAAAGAACCTTGTCCTCAGTGTGAGGAACCTTCTCCTCAGAGTGAAGAACCTTCTCCTCAGAGAGAAAAACCTTGCCCTCAGAGTGAAGAACCTTGTCCTCAGGGTGAGGAACCTTGTCCTCAGAGTGAAGAACCTGGTCTTCAGTGTCAGGAACATTGTCCTCAGACTGAAGATCCTTGTTCTCCGAGTGACAAACCTTGTCCTCAGAGTGAGAAACCTTCTCCTCAGTGTGAGGAACCTTGTCCTCAGAGTGAAGAACCTCGCCCTCAGAGTGAAGATTCTTCTCCTCAGAGTGAGGAACCTTGTCCTGAGAGTGAGGACACCTGTCCTCAGAGTGAGGACACCTGTCCTCAGAGGGAAAAACCTTGTTCTCAGTGTGAGGAACCTTGTCCTCAGAGAGAAGAACCTCGTTCTCAAATTGAAGAACCTTGTCCTCAGAGAGAAGAACCTTGTCCTCAGAGTGAAGAACCTTGCCCTCAGAATGAAGAACCTTGTCCTCAAACTGAGAAACCTTGTCTTCAGAGTGACGAATGTTGTCCTCAGAGTGAGGAACCTTGCCTTCAGAGTGAAGAACCTTGTCCTCAGTGGGCGGAACCTTGTCCTCAGAGTGGGAAACCCTGTCCTTAGAGTGAAAAACCTTGTCCTCAAAGTGAGGAACCTTCTTCTCAGATTCAAAAAACTTCTCCTCATATTGAAACAACTTGTCCTCAGAGTAAGGAACCTTGTCCTCGGAGTGAAGAACCTTGTCCTCAGAGGGAAGAACCTTGTCCTCAGAAAGAAGAACCTTGTCCTCAGAAAGAAGAACATCGTCCTCAGAGTGAAGAACCTTGTCCTCAGAGTGAAGAACCTTGTCCTCAGAAACAAGAATCTTGTCCTCAGTGTGTGGAACATTGTCCTCAGTGTGAGGAACCTTGTCCTCAGAGTGAAGAACCTTGTCCTCGGAGTAAAGAACCTTGTCCTCAAAGTGAAGAACCTTGCCCCAGAATGAAAGACCTTGTCCTAAAGGTAAGGAACCTTGTCCTCAGAGTGAGAGACCTTTTTCCTCGGAGTAAAGAACCTTGTCCTCAGAATGGAGAACCTTGTCCTCAAAGTGAGGAACCTTGTCCTCAGAGTGAGAAACATTCTCTTCAGAGTGAGGAACGTTCTCCTCAGAGTGAAGTACCTTCTCCTCATTGTCAGGAATCTCGCCCTCAGACTGAGGAACCTTGTCCTCAGTGTGAGGGACCTTGTCCCCAGAGTGAAGAACCTTGCTCTCAGAGTGAAGACCCTTGTCCTCAAAATGAGGAACCTTGTCCTCGGAGTGAGAAACCTTGTCCTCAGAGTGAGGAATCTTGTCCTCAGTGCGAGGGACCTTGTCATCGGACTAAAAAACATTGTCCTCAGAGTGAGAAACCTTGTCCTCAGAGTGAGGAAGCTTGTCCTCAGCCGGAAGAACCTTGGCATCGGATTAAAAAACTTTGTCCTCAGAGGGAAGAACCTTGTCCTCAAAGTGAGGAACCTTGTCCTCAGAGTAAGTAACCTTGTCCTCAGAGTGTGGAACCTTGTCCTCTGGGTGAAGAACCTTGTCGTCAGAGTGATGAACCTTGTCCTCAGAGTGAGCAACCTTGTCCTCAGAGTGAGAAACCTTGTCCTCAGAGTGAGGAACCTTGTCCTCAGAGGGAAAAACCTTGTCCTCAGTGTGAGGAACTTTGACCTGAGAGTGAAGAACCTTGTCCGCAGAGTAAAGAACCTTGTCCTCAGAGTGACCAACCTTCCCCTCAAAGTTAGGAACCTTGTCCTTAAAGTGAGAAACCTTATCCTGAGAGTGAGGAACCTTGTCCGTAGGGTGAGGAACCTTCTCCTCAGAATGAGGAGCCTTGTCCTTAGAATGAAGAACCTTGTCCTCAGAGTGAGGAAACTTGTCCTCAGCCGGAAGAACCTTGCCATAGGAGTAAAAAACTTTGTCCTCAGAGGGCAGAACCTTGTCCTCAAAGTGAGAAACCTTGTCCTCAGAGTGAGAAACCTTGTCCTCAGAGTGAGGAACCTTGTCCTCAGAGGGAAAAACCTTGTCCTAAGTGTGAGGAACTTTGTCCTGAGAGTGAAGAACGTTGTCCGCAGAGTAAAGAACCTTGTCCTCAGAGTGACCAACCTTCTCCTCAAAGTAAGGAACCTTGTCCTCAAAGTGATAAACCTTGTCCTGAGAGTGAGGAACCTTGTCTTAAGTGTGAGGAGCCTTGTCCTCAGAATCAGGAACCTTGTCTTTAGAATAAAGAACCTTGTCCTCGGCGTGAGGAACCTTGTCCTCAGAGTGAGGAATCTTGTCCTAAGAGTGAGGAACTTTGTCCTCAGAGTGAGGAACCTTGTCCTCAGAGTGAGGAACCTTGTCTTCAGTGTGAGCAACATTGTCCTCACAGTTAAGAACCTTCTCCTCAGAGTAAGAAACCTTGTCGTGAGAGAGAACAACCTTGTCCTCGAAGTAAGGAACCTTGTTCTCAGAGTGAAGAACTTGGCCTCAGAGTGAGGAACCATGTCCTCAGAGTGAGGACCCTTGTCCTCAGTGTGAGAAACCTTGTCCTCCGAGAGAAAAACCTTGGCCTGAGCGTGAGGAACCTTGTCCTCAGAGTGAAGAACCTTGTCCTCAGAGTAAAGAACCTTGTCCTCAGAGCGAAAAACTTTGTCCTCAAAGTGAGGATCCTTGTCCTCAGATTGAAAAAATGCGTCCTCAGATTGAAAAACTTGTCCTCAGAGTGAAACACCTTTTCTTCAGAATGGGGAACCTTGTCCTTAGAATGAAGAACATTGTCCTCCGTGTGAGGAACCTTGTCCTCAGAGTGAGAACCTTGTCCTCACAGTGAGAGACCTTGTCCTCAGAGTGAGAAACATTCTCTTCAGAATGCGGAACCTTCTCCTCAGAAAGAAAAACCTTGTCCTCAGTGCGAGGAACCTTGTCCTGAAAGTGAAGAACCTTGTCCTCAGGGTAAAGAACCTTGTCCTCAGAGTGAAGAACCTTCTCCTCAAAGTGAGGAACCTTGTCCTCAGAGCGAGAAACCTTGTCCTGAGAGTAAGGAACCTTGTCCTCAGAGTGAGGAACCTTGTCCTCAGAATGAGGAACCTTGTCCTTATAATGAAGAACCTTGTCCTTATAATGAAGAACCTTGTCCTCAGAGTGAAAAACTTTGTCTTCAGACTGAGGAACCTTGTCCTCAGAGTGACGAATCTTGTCCTCAGAGTGACGAATCTTGTTCCCAGAGTGAAGAACCTTGTCCTCAGAGTGAGAAACCTTGTCCTGAGAGTGAGGAACCTTGTCCTCAGAGAGAGGAAACTTGTCCTCAAAGTGAGGAACCTTGTCCTCAAAGTGAAGAACTTCGTCCTCAGGGTGAGGAACCTTGTCCTCAGAGTGAAAAACCTTATCCTCACTGTGAGAGACCTTGTCCTAAGAGTAAGAAACCTTCTCTTCAGATTGCGGAACCTTCTCCTCAGAGAGAAAAACCTTGTCCTCAGTGCGAGGAACCTTGTCCTGAGAGTGAAGAAACTTGTCCTCAGAGTAAAGAACCTTGACCTCAGAGTGAAGAACCTTCTCCTCAAAGTGAGGAACCTTGTCCTCAGAGCGAGATACCTTGTCCTGAGAGTAAGGAACCTTGTCCTCAGAGTGAGGAACCTTGTCCTCAGAATGAGGAACCTTGTCCTTAGAATGAGGAACCTTGTCCTCAGCGTGAGGAACCTTGTCCTCAGAGTGAAGAACTTTGTCTTCAGAGTGAGGAACCTTGTCCTCAGAGTGAGGAACCTTGTTCTCACAGAGAGAACCTTCTCCTCAGAGTGAGAAACCTTGTGCTCAGAGAGAGGAACCTTGTCCTCAAAGTGAGGAACCTTGTTCTCAGAGTTAAGAACCTTGTCCTCAGAGTGAAAACCTTGCCCTCAGAATGAAGGACCTTCTCCTCAAAGTGACGACCTTGTCCTCAGAGTGAGAAACCTTGTCCTCAGAGTAAAGAACCTTGTCCTCAGAATGGAGAACCTTGTCCTCAAAGTGAGAAGCCTTGTCCTCAGAGAGAGAAACCTTGTCCTCAGAGTAAGGAACCTTCTCCTCAGAGTGAAGAACCTTGTCCTCAGAGTGAGGAACCTATTCCTAAGAGTGAAGAACCTTGCCCTCAGAATGAAGGACCTTCTCCTCAAAGTGACGAACCTTGTCCTCAGAGTGAGAAACCTTTTCCTCAGAGTAAAGAACCTTGTCCTCAGAATGGAGAACCTTGTCCTCAATGTGAGAAGCCTTGTCCTCAGAGTGAGAAGCCTTGTCCTCAGAGTAAGGAACCTTCTCTTCAGAGTGACCAACCTTCTCCTCAAAGAGAGGAACCTTGTCCTTAGAGTGAGAAACCTTGTCCTGAGAGTGAGGAACCTTGTCCGTAGGGTGAGGAACCTTGTCCTCAGAATGAGGAGCCTTGTCCTTAGAATGAAGAACCTTGTCCTCAGTGTGAGGAACTTTGTCCTCAGGCTGAAGAACCTTGTCGTCAGAGTGAGGAACCTTCTCCTTAAAGTTAGAGACCTTGTCCTCAGAGAGAGAAACCTCGTCCTCAGAGTGCGGAACGTTGTCCTCAGAGAGAAAAACCTTGTCTTATTTGTAAGGAACCTTGTCGTGAGAGTGTAGGACCTTGTCCTCAGAGTAGAGAACCTTGTCCTCAGATTGAAGAACCTTCTGCTCAAAGTGAGGAACCTTGTCCTCAGAGTGATAAACCTTGTCCTGAGAGTGAGGAACCTTGTCTTCAGTGTTAGGAACCTTGTCCTTAGAATCAGGAACCTTGTCTTTAGAATAAAGAACCTTGTCCTCGGCGTGAGGAACCTTGTCCTCAGAGTGAAGAACTTTGTCTTCAGAGTGAGGAACCTTGGTCTCAGAGTGAGGAACCTTGTCCTCAGAGTGAGGAACTTTGTCCTGAGAGTGAAGAACCTTGTCCTCAGTGTGAGGAACCTTGTCCTCAGAGTGAAGAACCTTGTCCTCAGTTTGAGAAACCTTGTCCTCAGAGGGAGAAACATTGTCCTCAGAGTGAGGAACCTTGTCGTTAGAGTGCAGAACCTTGTCCTCAAAGTGAGGAACCTTTTCTTCGGAGTGAAGACCCTTCTCCTCAGAATGAATAAACTTGTCCTCAGAGTGAGGAAACTTGTCCTCAGAGTGAAGAACCCTGTCCTCAGAGTGAAGAATCTTGTCCTCAGACTGAGAAACCTTTTTCTCAGCGTCAGCAACTTTGTCCTCAGTGTGACGAACCTTGTCCACAAAGTGAGGATCCTTGTTCTCAGAGTGAAGAACCTTGTCCTCGGAGTGAAGAACCTTCTCCTCAGAGTGAAGAACCTTTTCCTCAGAGTGAAGAACCTTTCCCTCATAGTGAAGAAACTTGTCCTCAGAGTGAAGAACCTTGTCCTCAGAGTGGAGAACCTTTTCCTCAGAGTGAAGAACCTTTTGCTCAGAGTGAAGAACCTTGTCCTCAGTGTGAAGAACCTTATCCTCAGAGTGAAGAACCTTGTCCTTAGAGTTAAGAACCTTTTCCTCAGAGTGAAGAACCTTGTCCTCAGTGTGAAAAACCTTATCCTCAGAGTGACGAACCTTGTCCCCAAAGAGAGGTACCTTGTCCTCAGTGTGAAGAATCTTCTCTTCAGGGTTAAGAACCTTCTCGTCAAAGAGAGGAATCTTGTCCTCAGTGTGAGGAACCTTGTCCCCAAAGTTAGGTACCTTGTCCTCAGAGTAAAGTACCTTCTTCTCAGAATGAAGAACATTGTCCTAAAAGTGAGGTACCTTGTCCTCAGAGTGAGAAACCTTGTCCCACGGTTGGCACAAAAGACAGCAAATTCGGCCACGTACAAATAACTTTCTGTCGTTAGTTTGGAATATCACGAAACTTTCTGACAGGATAGAACTGACCATTCCTGAAATTCGTATCGATTTTTTTTTTCGAATTTGTTACATTTTGGCGGGAAAATGACGTGCCAACTTTGGCGCCAAAAAAATAAACACGAGCTAAGGTCATTCTAGTAACTTTTTCGAAGAGATTTTCCTATACGGATCTCAGAACTGTAAAAATATTGAAAATACGCCAAAACAGTGCAAAGATATGGTGCTTCAAATTCTGAAAAATTCGCCATTTTGTTACTAAAAATAGATTTTTTTCGAACTTTGAATCGTCATATCTTCGCACTGCCTTGTTGTATTTTTAATGTTTCTACACTTTTGAGATCCTTATAGCACAATCTCTTCAAAAAAGTTACTAGAATGTTCTAAGCTCGTGTTTATTTTTTTGGCGCCAAAGTTGGCGCGTCATTTTCCCGCCAAAATGTAAAAAAGTCGAAAAACAAAATCGATACGATTTTTTGGAATGGCAAGTTCTATCCTGTGCGGAAGTTTCGTGATATTCCAAACTAACGACAGAAAGTTATTTGTACGTGCCCGAATTTGCCGTCTTTTGTGCCCACCGTGTCCTCTGAGTGAAGAACCCTGTCCTCAGAGTGAAGAATCTTGTCCTAAGACTGAGAAACCTTGTTCTCAGCGTCAGCAACTTCTTGTCCTCAGTGTGAGGAACCTTGTCCTCAAAGTGAGCAACCTTGTCCTCAGAGTGAAGAACCTTGTCCTCAGAGTGAAGAACCTTCTCCTCAGAGTGAAGAACCTTCCCCTCAGAGTGAAGAACCTTTTCCTCATAGTAAAGAACCTTGTCCTCAGAGTGAGGAACCTTCTCCTCAGAATGAAGAACCTTGTCCTCAGAGTGAAGAACCTTGTCCTCAGATTAAAGAACTTTGTCCTCATAGTGAAGAACCTTATCCTGAGAGTGAAGAACCTTTTCCTCAAGGTGAGGTACCTTGTCCTCAGTGTGAGGAAACTTCCCTTCAGGGTGAAGAACCTTCTCCTCAAAGTGAGGAATCTTGTCCTCAGTCTGAGGTACATTTTCCCCAGAGTGAAGAACCTTGCCTTTAGAGTGAACGACCTTGTCCTCAGAGTAAAGAACCTTGTCTTCAGAGTGAAGAACTTTGTCCTCAGAGTGAAGAACTTTGTCATTATAGTACAGAACCTTGTCCTCAGAGTGCGGAACCTTGTCCTCAGATTGAAGAACCTTGTCCTCAAAGTGAGGAACTTTCCCCTCAGAGTGAAGAACCTTTTCCTCAGAGTGAAGAACCTTGCCCTCAGAGTGAAGAACCTTGTCCTCAGATTAAAGAACTTTGTCCTCATAGTGAAGAACCTTATCCTGAGAGTGAAGAACCTCGTCCCCAAAGTGACGTACCTTGTCCTCAGTATGAGGAAACTTCTCTTCAGGGTGTAGAACCTTCTCCCCAAAGTGAGGAATCTTGTCTTCAGTGTGAGGAACATTTTCCCCAGAGTGAAGAACCTTGTCTTTAGAGTGAGGAACCTTGTCCTCAGAGTAAGGAAGCTTGTCTTCAGAGTGAAGAACTTTGTTCTCAGAGTGAAGAACTTTTTCCTCATAGTATAGAGCCTTGTCCTCAGATTGCGGAACCTTCTCCTCAGATTGAAGAACTTTGTCCTCAAAGTGAGGAACGCTTTCCTCAGAGTGAAGAACCTTGTCCTCAGAGTAAAGAACCTTGTCTTCAGAGTGAAGAACTTTGTCCACAGAGTGAAGAACCTTGTCCTCAGAGTAAAGAACCTTCTCCTCAGAGTGAGGAACGTTGTCCTTAGAGTGAAGAACCTTGTCCTCAGAGTGAAGAATCTTGTCATCAGACTGAGAGACCTTGTTCTCAGTGTCAGCAACTTTGTCCCCAATGTGAGGAACCTTGTCCTCAAAGCGAGGAACTTGTCCTCAGAGTGAAGAATCTTGTCCTCAGAGCGAAGAACCTTGTCCTCAGAGTGAATACCCTAGCCCTCAGAGTGAAGAACCTTGTACGCAGAGTGAAGAACCTTCTCGTCAGAGTGGAGAACCTGGTCCATAGAGTGAAGGTCCTAGTCCTCAGAGTGAAGAACCTTTTCTTCAGAGGGAAGAACCTTCCCCTCAGTGTGAAGAACCTTATTCTCAGGGTGAAGAACCTTGTGCTCAAAGTGACGTACCTTGTCCTCAGTGTGAGGAAACTTCTTCTCAGGGTGAAGAACCATGTCCTCAGCGTGAAGAACCTTGTCCTCATAGTGAAGAACCTTTTCCTCAGAGTAAAGAACGTTGCCCTCAGAGTGAGGAACCTTGTCCTCAGAGTAAAGAACCTTGTCCTCAAAGTGACGAACGTTTTCCTCAGAGTGAAGAACCTTCTCCTCAGAATGAATAAACTTGTTCTCAGAGTGAGGAACCTTGTCTTCACAGTGAAGAACCTTGTCCTCAGAGTGAAGAAGCTTGTCCTCAGAGTAAATAGCCTTCTTCTCAGAGTAAAAAACCTTGCCCTCAGGGTGAATAACCTTGTACTCAAAGTGAGGAACATTGTCCTCAGAGTGAGATACTTGTCCTCAGAGTGAGGAACCTTGTCTACAGTATGAGGAATCTTCTCTTCAGAGAGACGAACCTTGTCCTCAGAGTGAAGAACCTTGTCCTCAGTGTGAGGAACCATGTCCACATGGTGAAGAACCTTGTCCTCAGAGTGAAGAACCTTGTCCTCAGAGTGAAGATCCCTGTCCTCAGCGTCAGCAACTTTGTCCTCAGTGTGAGGAACCTTGTCCTCAAAAAGAGGAACCTTGTGCTTAGAGCGATGAACCTTATCCTCATTGTGAGGAACCTTTTCCTCCGATTGAAGAACTTTGTGTTCAGAGTGAAGAACCTTGTCCTCAGGAAAAGAACCTTGTCTTCAGAGTGAAGAACTTTGTCCTCAGAGTGAAGAACTTTGTCCTGATAGTATAGAACCTTGTCCTCAGAGTGCGGAACCTTGTCCTCAGATTGAAGAACTTTGTCCTCAAAGTGAGGAACCTTCCCCTCAGAGGGAAGAACCTTTTCGTCAGAGTGAAGAATCTTCTCCTCAGAGTGAAGAACCTTTTCCTCAGAGTAAAGAACCTTGTCCTCAGAGTGAGGAACCTTGTCCTCAGAGTGAAGAACCTTTTCCTCAGAGCGAAGAACCTTGTCCTCAGATTAAAGAACCTTGTCCTCATAATGAAGAACCTTATCCTCAGAGTGAAGAACCTTTTCCCCAAAGTGAGGTACCTTGTCCTCAGTCTGAGGAAACTTCCCTTCAAGGTGAAGAACCTTCTCCTCAAAGTGAGGAACCTTTTCCTCAGTGTGAGGAACTTTTTCTCCAGAGTGAAGAACCTTCTCCTTAGAGTGCAGAACCTTGTCCTCAGAGTGAAGAACCTTGTCCTCAGTGTGAAGAACCTTATCCCGAGAGTGAAGAACCTCGTCCCCAAAGTGACGTACCTTGTCCTCAGGATGAGGAAACTTCTCTTCAGGGTAAAGAACCTTCTCCCCAAAGTGAGGAATCTTGTCTTTAGTGTGAGGAACCTTGTCCTCAGAATCAGGAACCTTGTCTTTAGAATAAAGAACCTTGTCCTCGGCGTGAGGATCCTTGTCCTCAGAGTGAAGACTTTGTCTTCAGAGTGAGGAACCTTGTCCTCAGAGTGAGGAACCTTGTCCTCAGAGTGAGGAACTTTGTCCTGAGAGTGAAGAACCTTGTCCTCAGTGTGAGGAACCTTGTCCTCAGAGTGAAGAACCTTGTCCTCAGTCTGAGAAACCTTGTCCTCAGAGGGAGAAACATTGTCCTCAGAGTGAGGAACCTTGTCGTCAGAGTGCAGAACCTTGTCCTCAAACTGAGGAACCTTTTCTTCGGAGTGAAGAACCTTCTCCTTAGAATGAATAAACTTGTCCTCAGAGTGAGGAACCTTGTCCTCAGAGTGAAGAACCCTGTCCTCAGAGTGAAGAATCTTGTCCTCAGGCTGAGAAACCTTTTTCTCGGCGTCAGCAACTTTGTCCTCAGTATGACGAACCTTGTCCTCAAAGTGAGGATCCTTGTTCTCAGAGTGAAGAACCTTGTCCTCGGAGTGAAGAACCTTCTCCTTAGAGTGAAGAACCTTCTCCTCAGAGTGAAGAACCTTTTCCTCATAGTGAAGAAACTTGTCCTCAGAGTAAAGAACCTTGTCCTCAGAGTGGAGAACCTTTTCCTCAGAGTGAAGAACCTTTTGCTCAGAGTAAAGAACCTTGTCCTCGTGTGAAGAACCTTATCCTCAGAGTGAAGAACCTTGTCCTCAGTGTGAAAAACCTTATCCTCAGAGTGAAGAACCTTGTACCCAAAGAGAGGTACCTTGTCCTCAGTGTGAGGAATCTTCTCTTCAGGGTTAAGAACCTTGTCCTCAAAGTGAGGAATCTTGTCCTCAGTGTGAGGAACCTTGTCCCCAAAGTTAGGTACCTTGTCCTCAGAGTAAAGAGCCTTCTTCTCAGAATGAAGAACATTGTCCTAAAAGTGAGGTACCAAAAGGGAGGTCAAAATGAGCAACCTTGTTCTCAGAGTGAGGGAGATTGTCCTCAGAGTGAAGAACCTTGTCCTCAAAGTGAAGAACCTTCTCCTCAGAAAGAAGAACCTTGTCATCAAAGTGAGGAACCTTGTCCTCAGTGTGAGGATCCTTCTTCTCAGAGTGAGGAACCTTGTCGTCAGACTGAAGAACGTTGTCCTCAGAAAGAAGAACCTTGTCCTCAGAGTGAGGAACCTTGTCGTCAGACTGAAGAACGTTGTTCTCAGTTTGAGGAACCTTGTCTACAGTGTGAGGAATCTTCTCCTCAGAGTGAGGAACCTTGTCCTCACTGTGAAGAAGCTTGTTCTCAGAGTAGAGAAACTTGTCCTCAGCGCGAAGAACCTCGTCCTCAGAGTGAGGAACCTTGTCCTCAGAGTGAAGAACTTTGTCCTCAAAGTAAGGAATCTTGTCCTCACCCTGAGGAACCTTGTCCTCAGAGTAAAGAACCTTGTTCTCAGAATGAACAACCTTGTCCTCAGAATGAAGAACCTTGTATTCAGAGTGAATAACCTCGTCCTCAGTGTGAAGAACCTTGTCCTCAATGTGAGGGACCTTGTCCTAAGTGTGAGGAACCTTGTCCTCGGTGTGAAGAACCTTGTCGTCTGACTGAGCAACATTGTCCTAAAAGTGAGGGACCTTCTCCTCAGAGTGAGGAACCTTGTCCTTAGAGTGAGCATCCTTCTCCTCAGTATGAGGAACCTTGTCCTCAGAGTGACGAATCTTGCACTCAGTGTGGGGAACTTTCTCCTCAGTGTGAGGAACTTTGTCCTCTGAGTGAAAAACCTTGTCCTCAAAGTAAGGAAGCTTTCCATCAGAGTGAGGAACCTTGTCCTTAGAATGAGGAACCTTGTCCTCAAATTGAGTAACCTTGTCCTCAGATAGAGCAACCTTTTTATCAGAGTGAGGAACCGTGTCCTCAGAGTGAAGAACCTTGTCCTCAGAGTGGGGAAACTTGCCCTAAATGTGAGGAACCTTCTCCTCAGAGTGAGGACCTTGTCCGCAGAGTGAGTAACCTTGTCCTCAGAGTGAAGAACCTTGTCCTCAGAAAGAAGACCTTGTCCTCAAAGTGAGGGACCTTGTCTTCCGTGTCACGAACTTTGTCGTCAGTGTCAAGAACTTTGTCCTCAGAGTGAAGAACCTTGTCCTAAAACTGTGGAACCTCCCCCTCAGATTAAAGAACCTTGTCCTCAGCGTCCATAACCTTGTCCCCAAGGTGAGGAACGTTGTCCTCAGGGTGAGAAACCTTGTCCTGAGAGTCAGGAATCTTGTCCGCATAGTGAGGAACCTTGTCCTCAGATGGAACAACGTTGTCCTCAGAAGGAGGTACCTTGCCCTCAGAGTGAAGAACCTTGTCCCCAGTGTGAGAAATCTTCTTCTGAGATTAAAGAACTTTGTCGTCAGAGCGAAGAACCTTGTCCTCAGAGTGAAGAACCTTGTCTTCTGAGTGAAGAACGTTGTCCTCAGAGTGAAGATCCTTGTCCTCAGAGTGAAGAATCTTGTCCTCCGAGTGACAAACCTTGTCGTCAGAGTAAAGAACGTAGTCCTCAGAGAGAAGAACCATGTCCTCAGTGTGAAGAACCTTTTCCTCTGAGTGAAGAACCTTGTCTTCAATGTGAAGAACCTTGTCCTCAAAGTGAGGAACCTTGTCCTCAGTGTGAGGACCCTTGTCCTCAGAGTGAAGAACCTTGTCCTCAGAGTGAAGAACCTTGTCCTCAGAGTGAGGAACCTTGTCCTCAGTGTGAGGAACTTTGTCCTCAGGGTGAAGAACCTTGTCCTCAGAGTGAAGAACTTTGGCCTCAGTGTGAGGAACCTTTGTCCTCAGAGTGAGGAACGTTGTCTTCAGAATAAAGAACCTTGGCCTCAGTGTGAGGAACCTTTTCCTCAGCGCGAAGAAGCTTGTCCTCAGAGAGAGCAACCCTGTTCTCAGAGTGGGGAACCGTGTCCTCAGTGTGAAGAACCTTGTCCTCAGAGTGAGGAACCTTGCCCTAAATGTGAGGAACCTTCTCCTCAGAGTGAGGACCTTGTCCTCAGAGTGAGTAACCTTGTCCTCGGAGTGAAGAACGTTGTCCTCAGAATGAAGACCTTGTCCTCAGAGTGAGGGACCTTGTCCTCCGTGTCAGGAACTTTGTCCTCAGTGTCAGGAACTTTGTCCTCAGAGTGAAGAACCTTGTCCTAAAACTGTGGAACCTCCCCCTCAGATTAAAAAACCGTGTCCTCGGCGTCCATAACCTTATCCTCAAAGTGAGCAACATTGTCCTCAGGGTGAGGAACCTTGTCCTGAGAGTCAGGAACCTTGTCCCCAGAGTAAGAAACCTTGTCCTCAGATTGAAGAACCTTGTCCTCAGAATGAGGAACCTTGTCCTCAGAGTGAAGAACCTTGTCCTCAAAGGGTGGAACCTTGTCCTCAGAGTGAAAGATCTTGTCCTCCGAGTGAAGAACCTTGTCGTCAGAGTGAATAACCTAGTCCTCATGGAGAAGAACCTTGTCCTCAGAGTGAAGAATCTTGTCCTCTGAGTGAAGAACCTTGTCTTCAAGGTGAAGAACCTTGTCCTCAAAGTGAGGAACCTTGTCCTCAGTGTGAGGAACCTTGTCCTCAGAGTGAAGAACCTTGTCCTCAGAGTGAAGAACCTTGTCCTCAGAGTGAGGAACCTTGTCCTCAAGGTGAAGAACCTTGTCCTCAGAGTGAAGCACTTTGGCCTCAGAGTGAGGAACCTTTGTCCTCAGAGTGAGGAACGTTGTCTTCAGAGTAAAGAACCTTGTCCTCAGTGTGAGGAACCTTTTCCTCATAATGAAGAAACTTGTCGTCAGAGTGAAGAAACTTGTCCTCAGAGTGAAGAACCTTATCCTCAAAGTGAAGAACCTGGTCCTCCGAGTGAACAGCCTGCTCCTCAAACTGAGGAACATTGTTCTCAGTCTCAGAGACTTTGTCCCCAGTGTGAGGAACCTCAAGTTTTCCCGACCCGCAAGCGAATATTGCCAGTCTCATACCGGGGACAGAAAGCATGATTGACAGGTTGGCTATGCCTTGCACTTGTGCTAGTTGTTCGCGGCAATTGATCGAACATACTTGTCAGCAGGTCGGAAAAATAGAGTCGACGTTTCGCCGAGCATCAACCAATGGTCAACCATTTATTTGATGTGATTTTACAAAGCGCTTGAACCAAATGTCAAAATGATGAAAACTTTAAAATTTCAGGAAATATATATTTTGGAATTTAAATTTTGAGTTGAAAACGTTTGAAATAGGTCATGAATTTGAAATTAATATTTAAAGAAAATGGCATGCTTGGTTTCATTTGCAAAGGTCCTCAAGAAACCCTCTTTCGAACGTTGCCAACAATCCAGTAATAAATGTCTTTTGGAGATCTCCAACACTTTCTTTTTCCAGAGTTCTTGGGCGTCGCACGTTGCTTCGTCCCTTAAGTTTTTTTCACGTTAATGCTGTTACATAATTACAGTCATTTTCCATTGATGAGTAGATGTCCACTTCTTTATTCTGATATGTACTCCTTCACTTATCTTTCTTAGTTTTATTCTTCTGAGTACGTTCTGATTTCCACATGAATGCTGTCACACAAGTTCTGTCATTTTCCATTCTGAGCACATGTTCACTTTTATCTTCTGATCTTTACTTCTTCAAATGATCTTTCTCAATTTGGTTTTGTTGTTTTGAGTATTTCGTCGTCAGATATAACATTTGGCCATTGAACATCCAGTAACAAACTGTGAAATATGGCAAAGAAATGTATATAAGTGTCAAAAGTCTGGAACTGACAAAGTGGAACACCAACCCCTGAAATGATTGAATAGACGTACTGATTACTAGTTGCAATTTTTTCCAAATTGCCTCGTTTCCGAGTTCGCCTGTTTTAGCATGGCACGCCTATCGTTAGCCCTATTCTTCACGAAACACGAGAAAATAGAGACCTTACTATGTAGGGCGGCAACGCAACGACAAAGATAGCGGCCATATGCATATTCAAATCATTCAAAATAACGATTGTAAAGCCTGGTTCACATTGATCGTAAACATCGGCGATGCCCATTGTCGGTTGTCATTGATGCATAAAATGTTTTGTGCATTTTCTTCTTCGTTGCTCACAGACAATGGATCGTAGAACATCGCCAATCAATGTGAACCAGGCTTAAAGAAAGTTTCTCGACTATTGTTTATCTTATCAATTTAATACAGCTGTTTTGTTAGCCGGATTTACTGTTGAAAAAGTTCTACTGTAGAACTGAGCTAATTTGCTGAGTATATTTACGCCTCACGTCTTAAAATGCAGGCTTTATCCAAGACGTAAAAGTCTGTTGTTCCCTGTTGTAAACAGACCATGGACGACGTCTAAAACTCCTGTTGTATACAAATTATTCATTTTTTCTCTTAAATATTATGATTGATAGTGTGTTTAGATGTATAATGCGTCTTGTGCCAGTTTTTATACCAAGAACGCATAACCAGACGAAGAATAAATGCTTACCCAAGTTCGTCTGGACGCATAATGCGTCTCTAGTATAAAAACGGCCAATATCATTGTGTGAATAGCCATCGTCACGTTGCCCACATCGTTCCACATCGTAAGGTTTCTAATAACTACATGAAAACGAGGACTTTGGTAGGGGGAAAGTGCAATAAACACTACACTGTTTTGGTTTGGATTTTAGATGACAACTGATAACCTCTAATTAGGCTTATAGTTATATACAGCTAATTCGATCGATTAAGATTGTCGTTTCCATGCCGAGATCCTCGTTTGAAGAATGTTGTTTTGAGCACGCTTAACTCCTTTGGAAATTAAATTCACTTGAACGATTAGCATAAATATTACACATACTTAATTAGCAAAAGATAACAACAAGATCGTCCTAACATGCATGCATAAATAAATCTCATAATAATAATAATAAAGACGCCCAGGGCAGTGCCAAGCGGTATCTGGTTGGGGCCCTCGTCCCTCAGCCCCCCCCCCCTCCCAGAAAAAATTCCGGAAAGCAAAAATTTTTCCAGCAAAAATGGGGGGAGGTCGACGGTTTTTTCCCAAAAAACGTCCCAAAAATTTTTCCAAACACTAGTTTGAGATAACAGGGCTTATAAATACTTTTTGAGATCTTTTTCGACCTCAATCCAGCATTCCGGGGGGCCCTCTGGGCAAGCTGGGCCCCCTCTTTTGACTTTTCATTGAGGGGGTGTTACACCCCAAAACCGCCCCGTAGTTCCGGCCCTGGAGACGTCCATTGTTCACTGATTTCGCGCTTGAGGTCGACTGGTCGAAGATTTTGACCTTCGGAGACAACCTTATAATTAATTGAATTAGCTGCATCTATATAGCATGACCCACTGGTGAAATCATATAGCGACACACCCATCAATGACTTTAGCTGAATCAAACTTCATGCATCAAAGAAATTAAACCAGCATTGGTAAACGAATACATATAAGCCAGCTTTAGACACCTTGTTCTTATATATGTACTTCATAAATGTCTTACTGTAAAATAGCCCATTAGGTATTAAAGTTAAAAAGTCCTCTTTGTGCTTGCCATTTGATATGCCCTATTTTAAAATGCATCCAACAAGCAGACGTGAACTAAATCACTTATTAGCTACAGTGCAAATTCGGTCTTATTATTACAGTACAATTCAAATTTACCATCTCAAAGTATTTAAGAAGGGTTTTAATTTAACATATTTTAATATCTACTCCAAAACCACAAGGCTCATCTTAAATCCTTAATTGTCTTAACTAATTCTTCACGACTCGAACAATTATCTTAAACTTAAGGGTCGATTAATAGACGGTCGTTTTTGCTCTCCGTCGGAAAAAAAATGGTCAAAAACTACACTAAACTAACTCGAAATCGTCTTTAAACGTCGCTAATGCTACACAGTGTTCTAGTTGGGGAAGGAGAAGCTCGAAAAGCGAGCTACAGACAACAAACAACATTTAACTAGAAAACATGCTTACCAGCGCGCGTGTCTTCGACAGCTCTTACTCTGCCGCTCAAGTTAACTTTCTCGTCGACATTTACGAACTAAAATTGAAGAACAAGCAAATATTAGTCGGACAAATCAAACCTTAGTACCGTAAAACATTATTACAACAAAATTTGGCTGAAATATCAAGGAATTGGCAGCTATATAAAGCGAACACAAGTCGATAAGCGGGCGGCTAACTAACTGACAAATTGTATGACTAAAAATTCAAAGCATACTCCGTACAATCAAATACGATTTAAACAGCACTACAAGTGAAAATTGTTTACTTTTAACCATACCTTACTCTACTTCACTACAGCATAACCATTTCGAAAGTTTCAAAGCTTTTCTTTACTTGAGTGTGTAGTCTTTTGAGGTTTTGGTGAAATGGCGACCGCGTGCTCTTAGATTGAATTATACATTTGCTTCGGAAATTAGAACACGCCCTTCGTTCTTATTAGGTCAGACTTCTGAGTTCTGATTGGTTAGGCCATGATAAGCTCCTGCTAAAAATATTCCTTTATTGGTGCGAATTCCCTTGGGGAATAGTTTGATAAATTTTGCAAAAGTTCATGCAGATCAATATTATCCCTATTGTAATGACGGTAAAGCCAGTTTTCCACTTCAACCGCATCGCAACGTACCGTGTAGCATTTTGTTTTGTGTCGAAGTCATTAGTTCCACGTCATAAAACAAAGAAACACGATATGTTTCGGCACGATAGGATTGAAGTGGAAAACTTGCTGAATATATGGCTATCTGCAAAACAAGGGATGGGGAATCGGGAAATGAAATGTCATTCTTCCCTTTTTCTATCTGCGAAGCAGATATATTGCTATCGCAAACGTACCGTATCCCTAGACATTCAGCGACGAGCTTATACAATCGAGCAAATTTAAGCCAATCAGCGATTACTTTACATCAATTGTTTACATCGTGCCCGCATCTAACCTGTGAATGGGCATAGATTGGCCTCGTGTTATTCTTTCAAAAATATCTTGATTTTATCAATTTATCTTGAATTGGTTCTCTTGTTTTCTCGCCATTCTACTTGCGATCTTATTCGAAAGTTATTTACCAACATGGGAACTTATCCTCATCTGGTAAGTACTCAAATACCACATATTTTTATTATATATTTAAATACGAAATTGGTGCAAATACCACGTATAATTTTGCATATTACACTAGCTGTATAAATTGTCAACATAGTTCACAAAAAGATTTATACAGTATAACAATCTTCTGTGACTTCTGTAATATCTTAAACAGTCAAAACATGGCAGGTAATATTTCCAATGAATAATATCAAAGGAAACTATTAAATGGTCTCAGGAGATCTTGAATTAAATCCTGGTCCTGTATTTCTGTATATTAACTCTGTAAGTATAAACTCTGTTCAAAACAACAATTCAACTGAGCTGTCATCAAATGTAGTATTGGAGGTTAAAGATGTTGTTAGTTAAAATACTTGATACATTTTGGTTTTACACATTAATTAGAGTTATAATTAAACAAAATTCCCCACCCTCCTGAGCCTCATTAGATTGTTATTTTGCTTTCTAACATAAATGTTTTTGTTAGAATGATGAATAAATATGCTGGATATTGGCTGGATAATTTTGTCCGAACAACCCACTTGCAAGACAATCTGACATAAACGCACTAGTATGGAAAATAATTTAACAGCTACAATGAATAATCATATATTATATGGATGGATCTGATCAATGGCACACAATGTACAAAACTAAAGTTGTGATATCTATACTCAAACCGATTTTCTCCCACAACACAAATTGTTTTTGTGTGGATATGCTGTGTTAAACCGAACATTCTCTACTATTCAGTGTCCTTCGACTATGATTGACTCATTGCTACAGTAATGCATGTTCGTCCGCTCGAATAGTTTGTGTATGTTACTCAATAGTTAACGTTGCCAAGTGTAAACAACAACTGACAGAACTTTTGCTTCATATGACTACAATAAAGTTTTGAAAATTTGATATATATGGGGATTGACAAATGACAGTTTACTGAATAACCGGCTGTATGCACACTTCGAATATTGTTTGCATGAAATTTTTATTCCTGACTGCATAATTATCCATTACAATCAAAATCACATTATAAAATTAGTTAAATTTTCTTGGTGGTGGTGGGGGGGGGGG